TCAGAAGGGATCAGTCTTTGAGAAAATATATTATGCTTAGAAAGTGGAGGGTCGGTGAAAGAGAGGAAGACCTTCAACAAAATGAATGGACACATAGACTATAACAATAGGCTTGAGCATATTGGAGATAGTAAGCATGGGGCAGGATAGAGCAAGTTTCTGACCTGTTGTTCCTAGGGTTGCTGTGGGTTGTATTTAGTTTGATAGCACCTAATAGTAGCATGCATAACAGAGGAACTTTTGAGATACAGTGTATAATGTATTAGGTTGCTAACTGAAAGGTCAACCGCTTTAATCCTCTAGCTACTCAATGGTAATGGGATACACAGTCTTCTCTTGTAAATATTACAGCCTCAGAAGCCTGATGAAGGTTCATTCTGGGTCAGAACTAACTCAATGGCTTGACTAGATGTACTTGATTGCCTTTTTGGCATTGTTGAATGAGCTCAGTTACCTGAAATGCACATCTGTGAAGAAAAGCCTCATCCATTGCCTCTGAGTTGGAACTGACTCATGTCTGATGCTCTAGCAGGTTTTCAGGAGAGTGTAAATTACATGAGGGATTGCCCATCTTTTCTTGAAGAAGCAGCTCATGAATTCAAATGGCCAGAGAGGAGCAATCTTTGAATTAGCAGCACTTTAGAAACAGTTCTTTAGAAACAATTTTTGAGCAAGGTAAGGCCAGAGTTGTCAATATGCAGGAATGTTATTAAAATATTTAAGAACTCACACAACATGAGCCTTGACCAATCCAAGATTGTCAAACTTGTTATTGATTAAGACAAGGGCCCATGTCACATCTTCAGGCAGGCTTGAGAGATTACTGGGTAGAGAAAGGTTTACCAGACTTTCTCCAAAAGGGATTGACACTGTGACTGTAACAATGGGCTCAAGTATGTCAGAGATGATGAAGATGGAACAGGATAGGATAGGGTTTAGATCTATTATTCATAGGGTTCCCATGAATTGTACTCCACTCAATGGCACCTAACAACAACAACTTTATTGTGGAATTAAATACCACAAGCAGTATCTGGTCTCCTAGAGAATTGCCTCTTCTCTATTGTAGGTGGTCTAGGAAAGACTAAAAAACAAACCAACCAAGGTGTAGGTGGGCTTCTGACTCAAGATAAGCTAATCAGATTATCTTTCCAGGTAATAAAACTCTGAAACAGAGTGAGAAAATGATAGCAGAGAAATACCTTTGAGTTCATGTTTGTGTTGAGGGTCCTAATTGCTTCTTGCAGGGAAAGTTCTTTAAGGTATAGTCAAACCTTTCCAGACACTCAGAGTAACCTGGTTCCTCTCCATGTCCTTGCTCTTCCTGTAGGGTCTGTGGAGGCTTCTAAAGTCTTCTAGCACTTTCTACTTTACTTTATTAAATTTGCCAGTTGGTTATTTTTGCTCACAAGCGTAGAACCACCACTAATGCAGGTCTTATGCTTTATCTTCAGCCAGGTTTGTGGGGACTAACTACCTAGAGACAGACTATATTGAAGCAACTACTGAAAATAAAAAAGAAATAAGCTCCAGTTGTTCTCAGGAAATAAGAGAAAGAAGACATGGGAGGATAGTGGGGCTGAAGGATGTTGTGTACATCCTTTGGGGCAGATTAAATTCATCACAAGAAGCTCTCAGTTGCTCATGGAGCTGGATTCCATCACTAGGTTCTCCATTGACCCATGGAGTGACCTGGTTTTTTAATCAGGTACTTTTCTCAAGCAAAACTTGAGTGGATAGATCATGAGAAAAAGAAAGGTCAAGTCAGGATCACTCAGGTTCTTAACTGTTCTTGTAACACGGAGAGCAAACTGGCATTGAAATCATGGGCTAAGATGAGCTCTAGCTGGGATATATATGAATGATGATATTCACACATTCTCGAAGTATCTGTCTGTGGACATTTTATGGGAGCCATATTAGGAACTAGGTAGATTTTTAATGAAAATTTTCTTTAAGAAAATAGGGAAATTAGTTCTTTTTCACCATTGTAGTCATTCTTTTACCAGTGTTGGGTTGGGCATGTTCATATCAAACCTTTTTGATTGATATGAAGGGCTGTCTATATACCAGTACACCACTCCAATCCGATCCACTCATGTGGCTTCCTCTAGAAACCATGTCTTCTATAGAATTTAGCTCGGGCAAGAATATCATTGGCATAGTCATTTTCTATATCCACAGGATTGGCAACAGCTTCAACTCCCAACTTAAAGGCTGAAAGACCACCTGAAATGAAACACAGTGCTTTAAGTTTGAAGAGTATTGTTGGACAGAAATAAGACATGAGCATTTTCAGGACATCAGCCCTCTAGCCAGATCTTTCTAAGCAGGTGTCCCAGACTGTCATCCCTCTCCCTCCTCTCCCCCTTGAAGTTGAGAATCTTTTATCCCAAGGATGAATGGGAGTATTTTAGATTTCTTTTCCTTGTCTTTTAACACTCTGTTTGTCTTTCCATAAAAGCCAGATTTACATCTGGTATAATCCATGTCTGGCAGGACTATAGTTTTCAGGTTATCATCAGTTTAAGAATGCTTAATACATTCTCTATTCATTTCAAAACCCGCTCTTTCATTCATTCAAAAAAATTTTCTAATGATACCTATCATGTGTCAAGATTTAAGCCACACTCCATGTGAAATGCACTAAATCCATCCAAGATATTGAAGACCTTTATTTAAGTGGTTATTTAGTAAATACATATCTGTGTTCTGCTTTGCTCTCCTTTGCTCTGCTCTGCTCTGCTCTGCTCTGCTCTGCTCTGCTCTGCTCTGCTCTGCTCCGCTCCGCTCTGCTTTGCTCTGCTCTAAAGAGAAAAATATCTAGTCCTAACCCCTGCCTTCCAGGACCTTGGAATAGAAAATAGAAACTGTTCTTAATTAAGGCCTTCAAAGTGTCAAAGGAGAGGAGGCAGTATCTATTATGAGCCTATAGGAGGTAGACTTAATAGGAATTAGTGGTGATTGAGTGAAGAGAGAAAGAGTCAGAAAAGCGCAAGAAAATAATCTTGTTTTATGGCTGTATGATGGGATATATTATGGCACAGAAAGTATGAACATTTTTAAAATAATGGAATGCTTGTTAACTATTTCATTCTTTTTTTTAGTTTTTGTTTTTTTAAGATAATTTTTATTTATTCTTTTTTTATTGTTATTAAATTTTATTAGTTTTAATGAACATTTACAGGGATTTTGGGTTTTCATTCCTTCATTGCTGCACCATTCTCTCTACCCTCCTCCCCAGTTTGTTCTTCTTCCCCCGCCATCCAAATGTCTGTTTTAATTGTCCAAATAGTGCTTGTCAAAGTCAGTTCTGATTAATCTCTGTTAACTATTTCATTCTGCTAAACATGGTTTTAATCAAACATTCCTCTAAGTGGTATAGCACTGGTCTGTGAATTGCTGTACAGAGGTAACTTGTGGTTGCTGTGATGTTAAACACTATGACACTGATGTGTCAAATGCAATAATGGTTGCCCATGGTGGACAGTGTTTGGTGGAGCTCCCCGATTAAAACAAGACTGAAAGCAGGAGTGGCATCAACTTCCAAAATAGCTTCCTGCTGAAACCCTATGAACGTGGAGAAACAATGAAAGTTATACAAATGTTCAGGTCTTTCGTTCATAGGGTTGCTATGAGTTGTCTATGACTCGATGGCACTTAACAACAACAACTATGAGGAACTCAGTAGTTAAGCCAGGAGGAGACCTCCACATGGACTTATAATCACAACCTCTAAAGGGAGTGCTTGTATGTGAGAATTTGTTCAAACAATTTATAAAGTGGTTAATAGTTTCTCATATCAGGAACAAGCCCATCAGAAGAAAACATTTTTTTAAACAATCTCATTAACTCTAGGGAATCATTCAGTGGCTCAATAACAAAGGATAGGCATAATGAGAACCCTAGCATCTCACGGAAGCAGAAATAACAGAGAAGACCAAAGGAACATAGCCAGTTAGAAAGCACTGAAGCAGCTGCTCCCAGAACCACTGCCCACCCAGTCAGAGCACTCATAGAGCAGCTCAGGGCACATCTAGCCCTCAAGTTCTCACTGGTTGCCCATTTAAACAAACATAAAAATTATGGCCTACCTTTGAGGTGCTGAGCCACACTCCACGTGGGGAATCTTTTCTGTATTGCTTTAGTTCTTTCTGATAGAATACCAGCAGCCTGCAACAGGTGTTCTTTACTGTCCCAGGCACCAACAGGGGGATGAATTTTCTTATCCAGCTGAAAAATTCAGATAGAAATGTCAGTGTCTGGAGGAAGCAGCACCTTTTTCTGATGTCTCACATTTCTCCTTCTAACCTCCAATTTCACAAATACTGGCCCCAATCTCCTTCCCTTATCCTCATAGAGTCAAGTCTACTATTTTCCTCCACAGAGAAAAGAATCAGAGGAACAAAGACAGATATGGGAGAAATTAAAGATGACAGAGTCCATGTGTGTGTGTGTGTGTGTGAATGAATTTCCACTCAACTCATTGCCTTCAAGTTGGAGTCAACTCAGACTCAAAAGGTTTTTCAGAAGCTATAAAACATCATGGGAAAAGATTGCCTGTCTTCCTTTTGAGGGGCAGCTGATGAATTCTAACCACCTGCTCTTGGGCTGGCAACACAACACAAATCCCTACCCATTAGTACCGTAGAGTCAAAACCAACTGATAGCTGACCCGCCAGCAGGCTTTCAGAGGCAGCTAATCACATGGGAGGACATTGCCCATCCTTCTCCCGTGGAGCAGCTGATAGCCTCAAACCATGCACCTTTGGGATTGCAGTGCGGCTTCTTGCCACTAGGCCATTAGAGTGTGTGTGTGTGTGTGTGTGTGTGTGTGTGTGTGTGTGTGTGTGTGTATTTGTTATATCTATCTATCTATATCTATATGTAACTATATATAACTATATATATAGTTGTTGATTGCCGTCAAGTTGAGCATCACTCATAGTGACCCTATGAAGTCTTTCTAGAACTATCATCATTTATTAAAGTTCAGAGGCATGTTGTTTAGGAAGTCGCTGCCATTCCAGAGATAGATGGATGAATAGATAGATAGATAGATAGATGATAGATAGATAGATAGATAGATAGATAGATAGATAGATAGATAATGTGTGTGTATGTATATATACACACTCAACTACTCCTTAGAAAAAAGATGTGTAACTTTCTGCCATATGATTTACTGCCTTTGGAGTAAAAACTCTCTGGAGATTCAACTACGAGTTGGCTTATACTTAAAGGTACACAACTACAGCAACAATATCTATATGTCTCATTGTCTTCAAGTTGGAAGGAACTAATAGCTGAGTCAGTTCTAACTCAAAAGCAATGAGTTTGAGATTTTTAGCTTTATATATATAAGGTTGCTATGGGTTGAAGACAACTCGATGGTTCAAACTCAAAATTAATTGCTGTCAAGGCTGACACAAATTGAGCCTCAACCTGATTTCACCAGGCTAAAAATAAAATATATTTGCTATACAAAAAGAACAACAACAAAAAACCTCAAAACAACAAAACCCCTCATTTTGGTCAAGTTGGAGCTGACTTGTAGCTGACCCTCCAGTCAGCTTCTGAGGGTATAAATCACTGGAAAGGAGATTGTATAGCTTTCTTCCTGCGTGTATCTGGTGGTGGATGCGAACCTGAATCCACCTTTGGGTTAGCAGCAAAACTCCCTCTGGACTACATCACAGGAGCTTCAGATAACTGCACCACACATTACTTATTTTATAATTATAAATATGAAACTCACACTAGACTTTTTAAAGGCTATCTAATAGCTAATAAACCTTGAATAAAATACCAATCAGGTGTAACAGATAGCCCAGAAAAAAGGACCCTGAAGTATCTACAGCCTCCAGGGTGTTTTGGAGGCTGGAGGAACTGCAGACAGCTTTCTGTTTTGTGTCGAGCATCTGCAGAGAAGAACAGAAGTAGAGCTGATTTAACGTTTCTAGCTAAATACCTAGTGAGCTCTGGTGGCTTTGTGGTAGGAGTTATGCTGCCAGTCCAAAGGTTCATGGTTCAAATCCACCAGCTGCTCTGTGGGAGAAGGATGGGCAATCTCCAGGGCAATGAATTTCCTCTGAAAACCTGCTGAAAGGTCAACTGTGAGCTGGAATGGCTCAATGGCTCAAATTACACAAGTTAAATACCGAGGGCATTCTAGTGGCCTCCTTAGTGCAGAATTGTTTAGCTAATTGAAAGGCTGCCCTTCAGTGGCTCAAATTCAGCTCCTGGGAGAGAGATGGGCTGTTCCTTCCCCCATAATTTACAGACTTGGAAACCACACTGGAGAGTTACTTATGGAACTGATTGGATGTGCATGAGAAGATAACTGAATACCTGCATCAAACCGAATTTAAGTCCACTGTGATCCCAGCCATTTTGCAGGACGGCACCGCCATGACTTTCTCTGGAGATGATGGCTGCAATGAGGGCTGGGTCCACACAGTGCCTCTGCCCAACTTCTTTGATCATAACCCGGTAATATTTTACTGCCCTCAAATCCATCTCAGCAAACATTTCAGAACCACGAATCCCTGAAGTCAACAAAAACAAAAGAAAACTTGGTTTTCTCTGCTCTTTGTCCAACATATAGGTTAGCTACAGCCTTTGACCACTGTCCATGAGATGAGACAATTTTAGACATTCATTTGACCTCTGACTACAGAAACCCAGACAGGTCCACAATCCCAGATGGATACTACTTCTCTCTCTCTCCTTCTCTTTTCTGCCTCGTTGCCAACAAATCTAAGGTTCAGTTTGGCTCTGTCATGCGTAGCTCTGTGCCTTAGCGAGTCTCCTCACTTTCCTAAGCTTCAGTGTTCCCCTCTGTAAATTGAGGGGGTGGAATTAGATGTGACCCTTGAAGTTGCTTCCAGCTCTGACATTGTAACAACAATAACAGCCTAATAATGTATTTGAAGCAGCATTGCAAAAGAGGAAACATACAAAGAGCAAGTTTTAAGTTTCTTTTGAAATGCTCACACTGTAAGCAAAAATAACTACCAAAAAACCCCAAACAAAGAACAAAGCCAGACATAACACTGTACTCAATTAGTAATTTCAATGTGTACTAATAGATCAGGACAAGGATCAGAAAGAATGGGAAAATTAAGCGAATTCTCTCATGCTGGTTAGGATTCTGGGTTTTTTCCCCCTGAATGTTTAATTTTCATATCATTATAATGATAATTATTATGCTTTTAATAATATAGGGAGTGAGCTCTGGTGGCCTAGTCCTTAGGGAGTTGCATTGCTAAACTGAAAAGTCAACTCTAACAAATTAGCAGCTCCCCAGGAGAAAGATGGAAAATCTCTCTTCATGTGATTTTTAGTAGGTTTTTTTTTTACATTTTTATTATTTTTTATGTGTGTGCCATCAAATTGGATCTGACTGGTACAGGAGGAGATTGTCCCTTCTTCTTCAGCAGAGCATCTGGTGGATTTGAACCACGCACCTCTGGGATTGCAGTGCAGCTTCTTGTCACTAGGCCTCCAAAGCTCACCTCTCCATGTGATTTGTAGACTCTGAAAACCCACCAGAGGGTCAGTGATAAGTCAATTCTGAATCTATAGCAATGAGTTTGAGTGTTTGTTTTGGGTTTTTTTAAGTTAAATTTAGCTATGTTCTAAGACAGAACCTGAAAAGAAGAAATGTAAGCCTTTGCTCTAATTTTCACTTACCACAGTTAATCAGCCGGTCTATGTCACAGGCAGCCCCAGAGGTGTCCATGCTTGTAATGTCCCCATAGCACCCATGGTACTGATGAGGACGTAGGTGAGGGTTCATCATGTGAGTAAAAGGAAAGGAGCCCCGGGAAGTGCCTGGAGATGAAATGGTAATTCACACAAAGCCTATGAGAAAACATTTCCTGAGTTGCTGTTACAACCATCAACAAACATATGCAAACTTCAATCAAAAAGGAAGGCCAGGGACTGACTGGGTCTTCCTTGAAGTCCCTTTTTGTGATCTTGGCTCATCAGACAAAATGGAACTGAAGACTCCCCCTTTCCACTCTATTTCTATCTTAGAAACAAAATATAGCAAGCAAGAAAAAAAAGGCACTTAATTCTACAACACTAAGCAAGGTAGTGTGAAAAGAAATTATTTTAGATTTCTAATATATTTACGTTTTATTATATTTTGGTCAAAGTGAAACTTGTGATTTTAAGCAGGAACCTTTGGGGGGAAAATTAAAACACATCAGACACAATTTTTCTAGGGAAAGTACTAGGAAACATCTAGTCTAATAATTTGCCTTTCTTTAGAAAGATAGAAAAGAAGAGCACAATAACAATTTACATTACCTACAATTACTATGTTATATAGTGAGCTCTAATAGCTTAGTGACAAGAAGTTGGACTTACAAACCAAAGGTACATGGTTCAAATACACCAACTGTCCCACAGGAGAAGGATTGGCAATCTCCTCTCATGCTATTTACAGCCTCTGAAACCCTACTGAGGCTCAGCTATGACTTGCTTCTGACTTGATGGCACACAGCAATAATATGATTTATAGGGAGATCTAGTGGAAAGTTACACAATAATACAATACACAACAACAATAGTAGCAAATTACTCGGCTAACTCAAAGGCAGCAAGTATCAGGAGGTTCTAATCCTCTAATTGGTCCTCAAGAGAAAAATAGTTTTCTCCCATTATGAGGGTCACTATGCATCAGAATTAACTTGATGGCAGCAAGTTAAATATTTGATGTATCATGTTTCTGTGAAGTCTCTGTTTATTAACAGGAAAAAAACCCCTAGAATATCCTAAAAATTTAAGTTAAATTTACTATTCATTTAAAATTTGTCATTATAAACAGAATTTCCCCCCTAGTCTACTGGAGCTAAAGGAGATGAAGAGTTTTCCTGTAATTTTGAAAAGCTTACTTTAATAGTTCCAAGGACTGTTGATGAGTACCTTCGCACATCAAAATATTTGTTATAAGAAAACGTGTTTATTAAAATGTTGAAGCACTATGTTGTTTCATTTAATGTTGTAAACTTATGTTTTCAACCTGTTTATTTATGTTTTAATCTTAACTAATTATAAATCTATGGGTTAAATTTGCTTAATCCCTAAATCTGTGTTTGAAAAGTGATTATTTGTGCTTTTACTTTTGTTTTGTTGGGTTTTGCCTTTTTTAAAAAAAAAATTTACATCTTTTTTTAAAAAGTTAACCTTTAGACTTGCTTTATTTTTCTTGTAAATAAATAGGTATAAGAAATTATTTATTTTGTTATGTACATAATTCTGAGAGTATGTAGTTATTTTATACTAATCCTATCAGAACTAGATCTATGTGCATGGACAGACAGGTGGTTAAAATAGATCACTTTTTAAAACGTAAGTGTGAATAAACCAACAAAGAAAGGGAGGCTATCACATAAACTCAGGACCCTAAAAAAGCCTTTCTAGGTAATAAAAGCAGCAAATATCATCAGTTTCCTGTGAAAAAGGGAATTTCTATATGATACAGAGACATTAATGATCAAAGGCCAGATCATTATGAGATCAAGAATGGCATCAAGAATATCATCCATGAAAAAACCAAAAGATTGATGCAAAACCAAGAAAGAAAAGACCAAATGGATGTCAGAAGAGACTCTGAAAATTTCACTAGAACTTAGTGAAGCCACAAAAAAGGGAAGAAATGCTAAAGTAAAGAGATGGATGAAAGATTTCAACAGGCAGCTCAAGAAGACAATACAGGAGGTATGATAAGAAAATGTGCAAAGTACTGGCACTAGAAAATCAAAAGAGAAGATAAAACTGTTACAAACCATTATAAATAAAAAAGTGATATGATTGATATCATCAGAATCAGAATTTTAGTCTAAGATTGTTGTAGTGGACCATCAAGTCAGAACCCTCCAGTGGGTTTTCAGAAGCAGTAAACCACACTGGAATTGGCTGTCAATCTTTCTTCCTGCAGAGAGCAGCTGGTGGATTTGAACCATTTGACTTTGAATTGCAGCACAAGTCCTTACCACTAGGCCACTGGAGCTCCCTCTTGTTTTTATGTGGCATAAAACTGACTACAACTCATAGATCCCTATGTACAGTAGATTGAAACCTTGTTAGATCCTATTCCATCGTCACACTCTCCACTGTCCAACTCCATTGTTGCAGGCACTATGTCAACTCATTTTGTTGTTGGTCTTCTGTTGATTCCTCACCTTTCCATTCAGCCCTCACTTTTTCCAAGGACAGCCCTCCTGACAACCTGTCCAAAATATGTGAGACAAAGTCTTCTAAGGAACACTCTGGTTGCACTTCTTCCAACACAGATGTTTATTGTGTACTCTTTGCCAACAGCATAATTCAAAGGCATTGAGTCTTATTTCTTCTTACTTAAGTCACTGTTTATCTCCAATAATCATATGAAGCAACTGGAAGACTATAACTTGGGTCAGATGTACGTTCTCAAAGAGGAATACTTGCCCTGCCGCATTTCTATGAGGTCCTTGACAGTAGATTTGCCTAATATACCTTTTTATTTCTTGACTTGTTTCCATGGGTGTTGGTTGTGGATCCCAGTAAAACAAAACCCTTGGAAACTTCAATGTTTTCTCCATTCATCATGATATTGCCTATCAGTCCAATTGTGAGGATTTGTTTGTCTGGTATTTTGGTTTTTGTTGTGTTGTTTTGTTTTGTTTTTATGTTGAGCTATGATTCATACTGGTGGCCATAGTCTTCAATCTTCTTCAGTAATACATCAAGTCCTCTTCACTTTTAGCAAACAAGGTTGTGCCATCTGCATATCACAGGTTGTTGATGAGTCTTCATCCTATCTTGATGCTGAATTCCTTTTCTTATAGTCCAACTTCTTGGATTATTTGTTCAGCATTCGTATTGAATAGGTATGATGAATTGATGCAACCCTGTCACGCATTCTTCTTGTTTTTTAACCATATAGTAAACTCTTGTTCTGTTTGAATTGCTGCATCTTGGTCTCTGCACAGATTCTGCATGAGCAGAAGAGGTTCTGGAATTTCCATTCACTGTAATATTATCCATATTTCCAATTATCAATATTATCCATATTTAGTCAAATTGTTTTGCATATTCAATAAAATACAAATAAATATCTTTTTTATAATGTCTGCTTTCAGCAAACATTCATCTGGTACCAGTAATGATAGCTCTCAATCCGTAACTTAATGCCATAACCTTTTCCGTATCCAGCTTGAATTTCTAGTAGTTCCTTATCTATTTACTGTTAAAGGCATTTTATTATATGTGCTGCCGAAGCGAGCACAAGTTAAAGGCATTTTAAAAATAATTTTCAGCAAGATTTTTACTTGCATGTATTATATACAAATTCTTATAATTACTATTAACAATAATGATTATTATTCAATAATTTCTACATTTTAATGGAACACCTTTTTGTTTTATGGAATGGACACAACATCTTCTCAATTTCTTGCCATAGACTCGCAAGTAAATAAGCACATTCTATGGCTGACTGTTTGCTGAATTACTCCAATTGGTATTCCATCAATTCCTGGGGACTTGTTTTTTGCCAGTGTCTTCAATGTAGCTTGAAATGTTTTCAATATCACTGGTTGTGTTTTTTTTAATTGTTTCATAAGAACGCTCATGCTCCAACCAGCACAGGAGTCAATTTCCATTACTTTCCCTCCTTTTACAACCACCTAGCCCAGTGTTCAGGTCTGATGGGAAAGGAATGTGGAAGTTACCATTGGTTCTTGACCAAATGCTGCTTCCTGAAATTATTCCATGTTGACCAATTCTTTTTGTCACAACTGCTATGTGTATGCCTTCCATCTTTTTCTGATGATGTTATTTCATTAAATATTTGCTCATAGAATCCATTAGTATTGCAACTTGAGCCTTGATTTTTCTCCCCTTCAATTCTGTTGCTTGAGAAATGCTGAATATGTTAAAATACTTTGTTTTGTGTTCTTAAGCCACTCTTTAAAAATGTGTTATTCCATCAATTCTTCCATTCACTTTAACTTCTCTACATTGAAGAGTACTTTTCAGAATCTCTTCTTAACATCCATTTTGGTATGCTCTTTCCTTCCTGTCCTTTTAATGAACTTTTTCTTTCTTTGTACAATGTCCTTAATGTCATCTCACAACTCATCTGGTCTTAAGTCATGACTGTTTATGAGACGGTTTCTAAATTTTGATGGGATAAGTTCAATATTCTATTTTGAGTTTTATGGATTTATTTTCATTTTCTTCAGCTTCAGTTTGAACTTGCCTAAGAGCTATTGATAGTCTGTTCTGTAGTTAGCCCCTGATTTTGTTCTGATTGATGACACTGCATTTTCTTATCATCTCTTTCCACAAATGTAGTCAATCTGAGTCCTCTGTACTCTGTTAGGCAAGATCCATATACATTATTGCTTATGGTAGGGGTTTTTTTAAAAAAAAACCCAAACTTTTTCAATGAGTAAATTATTATTTTTTTACAATTCTGTCATGTGATCTCCAGCCTAATTTCTATCACCAAGGTCATATTTTCCAACTACTAATCCTATTCCTTTATTTTCTATTTTAATGTCCCAATCACCAATTATTATTAATGTACCTTAAATTCATGCTTGTTCAATTTCAGACAGCAGAAGTTGATAGAAATCCTCAGTTTCTTCATCTGGATTTAGTGGTTGGTTGGTGTATAAATTTGGATAATAGATTAATAAGTTTTCCTTATATGCATATGGATGTTATATCTTGAAATGTTCCTCTTGATGATAAATGCTGCATCATTCTTCTTAAATATATCATTCTCTGTGTGATAGATTATATGATTGCCTGATTCAAAACAGCCAATGCCAGACTAATCTCAGCTCACTAAAGTCTAGGGATCTTTAGGTCAACTTCCAATTATCCTAGATTCATACTTTATGCATTCCACATTTCAATTATTAATGGATACTTACAGCTATTTTGCCTTATTTTGAATCATGCTATATCAACAAGTTAAAAAAGAATATGGCATCAGGATTGGAGGAAGACTAATCAACAGTCTTCCTTAGGCAGATGACACAATGTTGCTTTCTGAAAGTAAGGAAGACTTGAAGCACTTACTGCAGAAGATCAGAGACTACAGCCCTCAATATGGGTTGCATCTCAATTTCAAGAAAACAAAAATTCTTACAACTGGACTGATAGGCATAATCATGATCAATGGAGAAAAGATTGAAATTGTCAACAACTTCATCTTACTTAGATCCACAATCAACACTCTTGGTACCAGCAGATCAGGAGACATATTGCACTGGGAGTCTGCAAACAGAGACCTCTCCAAATTATTGAGGAACAATGATGTCAGTTTGAGGGCTAAGGCACACCTGATTCAGTCCATCATCTTTCAATCACTTGTTATGAATCTGAGGTCTGGACAATGAATAAAGATGACAGAAGAATAATTGATGCCTCTGAGTTGTGGTGTTGAAGGAGAGTACTGAATATCCCATGGATGGCCAAAGACCAAATAGATACATTTTTGATAGAGTGCAGCCAGAGTGTTGCCTGGAAGCAAAGATGTTAAAGTTTCATTTCACATACTTTGGGCATGTAGCTAGGAAATGCTATTCCTTGGAGAAGAGAATTATGCTTGGGAAAATAGAGGGAGGACGAAAGAGAGGAAGACCTTCAATGAAATAGATAGACACAGTTATTTCAGCATTGGGCTCATATGTGTCAGTGATTGTGAGGATGGCACAGGATAGGACAGGGTTCAGATATGTTGCTTTACTCACCAGCACCTATCAACAATAACATAAGTAAATGAAAGTCTTTCATTGGCTGAAAGTTTCACTTTTTTCTTGCCGTGATAGTGAACTTTTGTGTAGAGGCAGCTCCAATAACATCACCAAATGAAGATATTCCATTTGCTGAAAATGTCACTTTTCCCATGCCATTACAGTGAACTCCACTTTGAGGAGGAAGCCCTTCCCCATTCATTTTTCGCATGACTTACAGTCTCAGGGGGTCATTCTCTGTCACAATATCAGACAACGTTCTGCTGTTATCCATAGAGTACTCAGGAGCATATTATTCCAGAGGTGGATGGCCAATCATGCACCTTAATCTGTCTGAGTCTGGGAGCTCTGCTGAAATCATGGGTAACTCATACATATGTAACACACTGTTGGCATACATTCCAGCATTATAGTAACACACAAGTCCCACAGTAAGACAAACTGATGGGTAAGCAGTGGAATGTAAGATAGCAGATAGAAATATTAAAGCAAACTAAAACTTTGTGTGCTTAAATATTAAGTATTAGTGAATTCATTACTACTTTTCTGTTTAGTTCAGTTTAGTGAAAAGTCTAGAAGGCATGAAGGCATGACGGCCTTTGTCATCCAGATTATGGTCTCTAGTGCCATTTCCCACTGAAATGAACTTATTTTTTCAGGAAAATTGCAGGAAATGTTACAATAAACCTGAAACTTCTTATAAGAAAGCTAGTTTTTATATGCTAAGGACACACACACACACACACGAACTTTTACAGATGAAATACTTTCATAATTTAAATTTGCTCAAAACATAGAAAAAAGTTTGGGAAATAGACTAAATAAGATTGGCAAGTGTTGAAAACTGTAAAAGCTGGGTGATAGACAACTTATTGTAGTATTATTATCCCTCCATTTTTCTATGCTCTTCTATAATAAATTTTTCTTCAAAAATAATATTCTCATAGAACCTTTCTTGTCCACCTATGTTAAAAAGACAATGCATTCATACCTTACTTCTTCTCCATGATATTATATTATGTCACTATCACCATGTGACATCTGTCTCTTTTCTCTCTCTCCTTTCTTTTTTAACATTTCTCTCATTTGATTATAAGTCAATTCCTTAGCCAGAAAGGCAAGGACTTAGTGTTTTACTCTGCTATATCTTCTTCAGTACATAGAACGATGTTTGGCACAGAAAAAGTATATGATAAATATTTGTTAAATAGGTAGATATGAACATGGTGTATGGATTTACAGATGGCTCACTGGTTGGATGATGAATGTATAAATGTGTGGAACGCTTTTTAGATGGATAGGTGGTTTGGTGGATGGATGAGTGGAAAAGAATTATTTTAACTTTGGGGATAGATTAAATATACATAGATCCATTTATATCTATATGTATACCTATATGTATGTCTATATCTGTATCTCTATATCATCTATATCTACATCTATAGATATATATTGCTGCTGTCAAGACGGAGCTGACTCACAGCTGACCTTCCACTTGAAAGTTGTAAATTCCACAAGAGGAGGCTGCCCATCTTTCTCCTGAAGATCTGCTAGTGGATTCAGACCACTAGAGAAGAAACACCTTTGCGTTAGCAGTGCAACTTCCTATGAACTACCTCACCAGAGCTCAAGAAGTCCAGTATCCTTGGTAAGTGGCAGCCTTTGCAAGGTTCAAAGTGTGGGCCTTAGAACACAGACATTAGAGTGATCTGGGATGTTTATTTAAAATGTGTATTATTGCTTTAATACCAGACTGATTGAACCAGAATATTTAGATATGAGGTTCAGGAATATGTACTCTAGTCAGTACTCCCAGGTAATTTAAGAGCCATTGTTGTCACAGTATTTGGTTATGGCCAAAATCCCTATGTTAATTCTATTGTTATACACACATTAATGTTATAAACACTAAAGTGTGTTGTAAGTACACAGATTCTTTAAAATTATATTCCCTTTTTAGTTAAAAACAACTAGTATGGGACCCGATTGATTGATTTATAGATAGATAGACACATACACACATATGGTAGCCTGTTGGCTCTGTAATTCATTTCCTACATGAAAAATGAAAGAGAAGTAAAAGTTTTAAACTCTGTGTTCCTCCTCTGACTATGAGTAAATAGAAGTTATTCGTTTTGGATTGCCTCCCTTTTTTCCATATTTAGGATTGAACTTTCCCAAAATTACAACACTGTCTTCTAAGTGATCACACCTTAATAAACAGATAAGTTGGGCATATTTACAATGATTCCATTTTTCCTTAGCTAAAGTTTCTGATATTATTTAAAGTCAACGTCCTTTACTATCTCCCCAACCCACCTCCCACAAATCCCCTCTTCTCAGCCGTGCTGATTTGCTTGCTTTATCCCCCTTTTCATACATTTCTGCTTCTGTGTTTTTAATAAAGTAGTACCTTATCCTGAAGGCTCTTCCCTTCCATTAAAATAACAAGTATTCTTCAATAATCATAACTGCCCCAAAGCCTTCTCAGTCTTTACGTGTTAGTTGTTGTGAGTTCCTCTACCTAAACTTCTCTCAGACTAAAATTTTTTTTTCAGCCACTTGTTGAAATCCTACTTACTATCTGGCATTGAAAGTTTTCTCTTCATATGTCCTCCCTTTCAAGATCCTGATTCATACATCTCTTACTAGGAAAAGAAGCCTAGTAGATGCATTATTAGACAGGCAGTAAACAGATCAATAAGTATCTGATTATTTTAAATGCTCATTGACAGCACCTTCATCTGCTTACTAAGTAGAAAATATCCTTAATTATAATGCAGGAAGTTGGTTAATGGCTAGGCTGACTGAAAGGTGAGCTCTTTCTGATTCCTTGCTAAATATTTTCTTGGTTATTCAGCTAAAAAAATTAAAATGTGAATCATGACTTACCAATAAGGGCAAGAAGTCCCCAAAATACAACAGAGGATAGCATGGCTGCAAATCTTGTCCTACAGGATCTGTTAGGATTTTAAATAGAAATTGGTTCATTTTAAAATTTGATTTTTTTAAAAGAAAGCTCCTTTTATTTAATGAAAGGCTTAGAATTACTTTGAATGCTGTCTCTACTTTCCTGTCTGAAAATATTATTCTTACAGACTTATGACCTGTTATTATCTGTTAGATTTCTCTTTCCATAAACTCCCAATTCCTTTGAATCTAATTTTATATTGATATGAGCCCATGGACAACTTGAATGTGTATGTACACTTACAAACATACACACAGAGTCTTATTTCCTCTCCAGATAACTTTGTTCCCACTTTTGCACTAGAGTCTAATTGTCTCTATCCCTATCACCACCTATCTATCTATGTATCTATGTATCTATCTATCTATCATCTATATGTCTATATTTATTCCTCCAGAAACTATATGAACATGGAGAAACGATGAAAGTTATACAAGTGTTCAGGTCTTTTGTTCATAGGGTTGCTATGAGTCATCCACGACTTGATAGCACTTAACAACAACATATCTCTGTCTCTATGTATCTATATTTTTTTATATATATATATATATATATATATATATATATATATATATATACATATATATATATAATCAAGAGATACTCTAGACATCACTAGTGTGACATGATTGAGGAGAGGTTTGCCATGTTCCATTTCTTCCTTAATTGACTTTAAAAAAAAAAAGACAGCTTACATATTTTTTACACACTACAAGACCAGCACTAACCTGGTTTGTGATCTGACAAAAAAACTTCTTTCTGTTTGAGAAGATCTTTTGTAATCCACAGCAATCACACGTCCAGCTTTTATGAAGCAATGCCCTTTATCCTATAACATAGATTTAAGAATTTGAGAATCCTATAGCCAGTAGAGCTCTGTGCACTGTGATATACTCCAAGTCCATCTCCATATGGCTCTACACTGTGGAGGAAGCTTTTGAACAACAGCATATATCTCACCTGTGTCTTCCTTCCTTTGTCCTGCACTACTGGTTGTTGGAGGAGCTTTATATAGGCTTTAAAACCCTCTCTTTAAGCCACTGACCTCATTAGGTCTCATTATAATAGTTTGAACTTGGTGGGCCTTTAATAAGAGAATTTAAAAGTATTTATTAACCACATTAATTAATTAGCTTGATGAACCCTCGGGTTGTACTGGAGGCATCTATTTGGTGGGTTGTTTCATAGTTTCTAAATTATACTATACAAACAGCTTCTACATCTGAAAACAAGAAATAGTAATCAGCATAAAGAAATTAAATAAACAGGAAATACTTGAAGATCTAATTCCTAGATTGGTTGGTTGTAAAAATGTTGAGTCTCTTGCTCTCTGTTCTCCATTCCAATGTCATATGACCCCATACTGGTGTGTAATATGATCTTACGCCACTATGTTCCATGTTCTCTAAAGGTGAAGTTAGCTCCTTGCTCAAATTCCAGTTCTGTGAAAAAAGTGAAAGACTGCCTGTCTACAAGAGAAGATCAATGAAAGCCAGGTGGGGGCAATGCTGGTGCTGGTCCCTTAGACTTTTTGAGGAAAGGAACAATAAGGACTTGAGCAAGTGTGAAATTTCTCCAGAGATGGAGAACTTTCTTCCCATTTATTTCCAAAGAACAAGATTAAGCACAGCTTGCAGCCTCAGAAGCAGGAAAGGAAAGAATGTTCTTGAAAAGAGAAAAGCACAGTTCCTAGAGGTTGTTGTTATTTTGTGCCAGTGAGTCAGAACTGACTCACAGCTGCCCCTCCAGTGCTGTTTTAAAGATTGTAAATTGCACAGGAGGAGATTGCACATCTTTGCCCCATATGCTACTGGATTCAAATAGCCTCCCTTTGAGTTGACACCACAACTCCTTACCACTAAGCCTCCAGGAGAATCTGGCATGGATACTACTACAGTGGGAGAAGTTTCTAAGTTCCTTCCACAGATTCCCCCAAGGGAAGAGAGACAATGAAGACACCAGAGCAGGAGCTAAGAAAGACAATAGCATTGTGCCAGTATTATGCCGAACAATTCCGTAGGCTCCCTGGCAAAGAACAAATCCCAACACCTAGGAGAACAATGTTCTTGAAACTGATCTCTGCTTTACCTTATTGTATTTATTTCTGTCCAGACCACTTCCTTCCAGCTTGTAGGAACTGGCTGCCCTTTAAGAGATTTACAGCCCTCTCTATTGGACAAAAGAGGTGGAGCTGTTTTGAATAAATAGGTATTTCCCACCTGGACTTCGAGGAAAATGACTCATGGATGTTGAACTGTTCCTCTACCATCATCAACAGCCTGGTCCACTGTTTAACGAGCATTCTTTCATAAGTCCAACTGCTCTGACTGCCATGCTTAGTCTAGATTGACAGTGACAGTGCCAATGTCATATTGACATTGTGTTCATGACCCTCTACAATGCAGAGTGAGTGGGCACATTTATGTGAAGCTTTCAGGTTAAGTGAGAGAATGTTCAAGAAAGAGAGAAAAACAAATGGAGACACAGAAAGAATGGCAAGTTAGATGAAAATATGGAAGCTAGAGGATAAAAATGATAACCAGGCATTTGAAGTGCTGTTCAAATGGGAATAATATTTTTATTCTATTTTAAAATAATGAGTCTTCAAATTCTACTGTCTGAGTGTCTTTTTCTCTCTTTCTATTTTATTACTGGTCTATACAAGACCCTCTATTGTGATCCCTTTCAAAGCAGTCAACAATGGAAGCCAGATATTATCTAGATTTTCTGGTTTCAGGATCCTGGAGGTTGAGTTTTGTGAGGTTTATTAGTCCCATAGACTAATTGTTTCCGTATGTCTCTTTTTTTCCTCACTTTTTGCTCTGAAGAGACCCACAGTAGTAGAAGGCCACTCACCTGCTTTAAGACATCAGTCACTACTCACCAAAGCTGGATGCAGAATACTGTCTTTCGTAGATCAACAACATCCAACACCAGCCTTGATTTTCACCCACATTCACAGATTGAGGTAAGAGCCCAGGTTATTCCCTGAGGTGCCCTGGGACTGATCACTCCCCTTTCCCTTATCAGGCCCCAGGGTAGGGAGGCCCACCTGACATGCTTTCTCCGCTGCGAGAAGGATCTATCAGCACAATCAGAGACGTCTGATTCAGCCAGATTCTACATGTCCATAGGTCTATTTTACCTCAATATGGAGGAAGGACCTGTCCTGGGGACAGTCCTTGTTTCTGTCTTCTCTAAAACTCATGGACCTTTGGCATTAAGCCTGATTTAAAAACAGTCCTTTGTTCTGCATCCTCTAAAACTTGCCACCTTTCACATTTATGCCTAATTTAAAGCATTCTCAAATTTTGTAATCTAAATTTAATTCCTTCAATCCATCTGTCTTTCAAAATGTAGGTACTGAAACAGCAAATGGTGAGAGATTTCCTATACT